TTCTCTCATGGATTTTTACTTTTAGACTTGGTTTCCTACTGCTAGATTACAGTTTTATTGCAAACCTTGTATGTACATAATGAGTTCTATGAATGTCAGAAATTTGTCCAAATTTCATTTGCATCTACAAAGTAGAAAGTGGTTAATTAGATCTGTCTCTCAACTTCTCTCAGAGTTTCCTAAACTATAAAATGTGGTTGTCTGATATGGTGATATTTTATTTGTACTCAATTGTGATTTTATTTGTATATTAATAAATAAAGTTGCCTGGGGGTCAGAGCTAATAGTAAGCCATAGCGGAGCTGGGCATTTGTGGTGCATGCCTTTAATCCCAGCACTTGGTAGGCAGAGCTAGGTAGATCTCTGTGTGGTCAAGGATATAGCCAGCATTGGAGACACATGCCTTTAATCTCAATACCAACCATAGAAGACCTGGAGGTCTGTACAGACAGGCAGTGACGAGGCAGTCATGTGGTTGGGTTTACAACCAATGAGAAGGCAGAACAGAAAGTCTATATAAAGACAGACACACAGGAAGCAGGTCTCTCTTGGCTGAAGAGGATCGCTGAAGCAGGAAGGGTAAGGCTCTTAGCTCTGACCTCTTGGGCTTTTATCTTTACATTGACCCTGTGTTTCTTATTTAATAAGACGGTTACTTCTACAGTCTGATGTTAATATTACTATCTCTGGCTAATCTACTATCCATTGTCTTTATAATTATTTCAATTTTACACAAAATTAGAGTTTAAAAATCATATTTTTATAACTTTAAACATGTAACCCAAAGGTCCAAATTTTCAAGACGACAGGTCAAAGTTTAGGGTTATCTTTTTTGATGGAGTTCTTCTCTGTATTGCTTTGTAAGTCAACTATTTATTTATAGGCTCATGTTAGATAGGAGCTCAGAACTACTAAGTTCTGTTTGGTTCACAATCATATACCTCTTATCAACTGTCTTACACAGATATGCCATTGGTATCATGGGAAGATCAGGAGAGCTTAAGTGGTTGAATTTCACTATCAGCAAAGACTCCTCAAGTACCTTTTACACCAGTAGGCAGAAAAAAAACTCCTTACATTACATTTGTATTTGTTCTCTTGTTGTGTATGAGCATGGTATAATAAAAAATATTGCTTCATAGAAATTTTATGATTCTATTTAAGATCTATTTTAGAAACAAATTACATTAGAAAAAAAGAATTCTCTTTTCCTCCTATGAGCACTTAATAGTGGCAATTTCACTACCTACAAAGATAAAGCACATTTTATAGGTGAATTTCTTTACTACATCTCATAAAATAAATCATTCATGCCTTCATTCATTTGTTCTATGCATAATTTGTGAGCTAACGTGATTGAAACCCATATCACATGTGTCTGGAGATACACTGGGGAGTATGAAAGAGCATGGACTCACAGGACACTTAAGTTCATGAAGTAATCTTTTTCACCTCTCTCACAAATCTCCTAAGTCTGTACAGGACAATGCCAGCTTCCTTCACAGGTCTTCTACCCCTATAATCCATTCTATAATCTTTTGGGCCTTCTGCTTTGTTAAAGTTCCCTTTTTTTTGCAGTTAGTTACTGAAATGGCCTGAAGGATAGTGCTGTCTCCTCTGATGGACTCTGCAGAAGTAGTCATTTGATGTTATTATAGGGAAGATAATAAATGTTATTTTGTGAAAGGTTGTTGATCTAAATAAAGAATATTTAAAAAGCCGTATAACCCCTCAAGAAGTTTGGGAGATTTTGAAATATTATTCTATGAGGATTTACTTTGCTAATAAGGTAAACCTTAGTTCTTTGAGATAAAGAAAAGACTTTGCAGCCATAGTGAGCTGAACACGCAATGTGCATACGCCTGTCATTTTCTAAGAGCAGCTGTCTAATCTAGGAAAGAAATCATATAATGCAGGATCCTAATATATGATTTTCTTTAGTTTTAGAATTTTGTGCATGTCATTATTCATGATTTTTTGCCTATGTTCAACTATCTAAGCTTGGGCAATACATGAGTATTTATAAGGCACTTTGCCCGACCAATGGTCTAGCAAAATAACAGTTAATTCCCTTGTGGGGCTTATGATGTTCCAAGCCATGGGATTTTGACTGGACTTAGAGTACCAGTCATGAGTCTCTCATAGATCAGTCCTCAAATTCAATCAGAAAGTGGATGATTTTCCCTGTCAAAAGCATGCTGTTGCTGCATCAATGGGCACATTTTTGTTAGCTGGTTGATATTGTTGTAGTAATCAGGATCCAGTACTGGGTAAAACTACTGATTTCATCTTCCCTTACCACCTCCATATCACCTTTCCACTGTATAAAGCTAACCAGCAAGTAATTTCTGGGGCAGTTTCCATCTGATTTGTGCATGTGCTCCAATCAAAGTGTGCTATGTCTTCAATAATAGGGACCTACTATCTGATTCTGACATGTAATCATGAACATTAGCAATAGCCTATGTTGTTTTGAGGCATCTAAGGCTTCCCCAAACAAGGATTCAAGGAAGTGTCCTAAATCTGACATTGAGAGTTTTGTTTATTGACCCACATCTCCTGGAAGTAGCATTGTACACCTCTCTTAAATGTCCTTTTGTTAAATTATATTTTTAATCAGCTTACCAACTAGTGGGTTTAGCTAAGGTTTTTTTTTTATATATCATTCCTTTTGGTAAATTTACCCATATTGCATTCACTTCTGCCCTCCATGTCCCCTCTTTGTTCCTATGTAACCGTTTATCTCCCACTACTCTCACTTTCTTTCATATCACATGTTCTCTACTGTCCTTTCCAATTAAAGTTCCCAATGAACTACAAGACTGTATTTTTCTGTGTGGCTTTCTCATGAACAATTTGTCTTGGTTACTCCTTTTACCATTCCTTTGCTTCCCCATCTCCTCCAGTGCATCTTGCTTTGAATCCTTCTGTCTCCAGTATCTACCCTCTCTACTGTTATTTTATCTATAGTCTGCTTCCTCATTCCCATAATGCACATTTTTACTAATGACCTCTTTCTAATTTCTATTCCCAGAGGTACTCCAAGTTAAACATACAAAACAAAATATTTGAGGCTATAATCCATGTATGACAGAATACATACAGCATTTGTTTTTCTGAGACTAAGTTACCTTGTTCAATATATATATTTTTCCAATTTAATCTGTTAAACCACAAATTTCATAATTTCATTTTTTAATTAATTGATATTCTATTGCGTGATTTTACTACATTTTCATTATCTATTCATCAGTTTGGGACAGGCATCCCTTCCCTACACCCTGTAATGGGCCAGCTCCATTTAAACTAACACATGTCTATTAGCAGACTTCGGTAGTAGAAGGTTCCTATGCAGTCTCTGCAAAAATCTTCAGTGTTAGTTATCCCTCCCTGTATTCCATTTTTCCCTCTCATTTCCCACACCATTTAACACTTCCTGTTCCATTATGCCACTTTCTTCTCTCAACCACCTGTGTTTTATCTCCTTGTTCTTAAAAATCACACACGGCCCCTTATTAGTTTTCTGACTTCCATGGGTACTCCTGTCTACGCACACATATCTAAAGCTGGCATCCTCATGTGATAGAGAACGTGACATTTGAGTTTCTGGTTCTGGGTAACTTCATGAAGAATGATTACTTCCAGATCCATTCATTTACCTGTAAATTTCTTTTAAAATATTGAATACTATTCCACTGTGTAAATGTGCCACATTTTCATTATATATTTTCAGTTAATGAACATGTAGACTGTTTTAATTTCCTGGCCTTTGTGAATAGAATAGCACACAAATAAGAGTATCTATATAGTAGGACAGAGAGTCTTTGGGGTATATGCACTGAAGTGGTATAGTTGGATCACATGGCAGTTCTATTTCTAGTTTTTAAGGAAGAATCCAGACTTATTTCCAAAGTGGTTGCACAATTTTAATTCCTACCAATAGTGTCTAAGTGTTCCCCTTCCCCTTCTCCCCATCCATGGCATTATTTGTTGTTATTTTTGTTTTTATCTTAGCTATTCTGACTGGGGTAAAGGAAGTCTGAAAATGGTGTTAATCTTCATTTTCCTGGTGGCTCTGTGGATATTGAACACTTTTTAAAATACAGTTACTCACCATCTGTATTTAAACCCACTTTCTCACCATCTGTATTTAGACCCAGTTTCTCATTGTGTTTCTGGATTTTTTTTTAAAATTTTTTTGTACATTCTAAACATTAATTCTCTGTCAAATTATATCTGACAATGATTTTTCTCTGATTTTGTAGGCTGCCTCTTCACTTGTTGAACAGTTTCCTTTGTTATAAGAGTGTACAGCTTTTTTGCTTTTTAGTTTCATATCACTTTTCCATTGCTGGTCTAATTTCCTGTACTGTAAGTGCCCTATTCTATGGTGGTATTTTATTTGTACTGAAATGTGATTTTAATTGTATATTAATAAATAAAGTTGCCCCGGGGGTCAGAGCTATTAAAGCCATAGCAAGAGCGTGGCGGTGGTGGCGCACGCCTTTAATCCCAGCACTTGGTAGACAGAGCTAGGTAGATCTCTGTGTGTTCAGGGATACAGCCAGCATTGGAGACACATGCCTTTAAGACCTGGAGGTCTGTACAGACAGGCAGTGACGAGGCAGTCATGTGTTTGGGTTTACAACCAATGAGAAGGCAGAACAGAAAGACTATTTAAAGACATACACACAGGAAGTAGCTCTCTTTCAGTGGTAGGAGCACTGCAGGAGGAAGGGTAAGATTTTAGCTCTGAGCTCTGACCTCTTGGCTTTCTCTTTTACATTGGTTCTGTGTTTCTTATTTAATAAGACAGTTGGTTACATCTACACTATTCAGAAAGTCCTTATCTGTGATTGTAAATTGAAGCATGCTACCTACTTTTGTCTCTAGTCCTCAGAATAGCAAGTCTAATGTTGAGATCTTTCATCCATTTGGATTCATTTGCATCACAGTCTACCACTGAGGGAAGTCAAGGAGTGAGTCAAGCAGGTGGAGAACTTGAAGAAGAACCACGGAGAAGCACTGCTTGCTGTCTTCCTTACTTGCTGCTCACAGCCCCAGGCTTAGGCACTATTCCTACACAGCTGTGACACACCTGACCAGGGATGGTGCCATAGTCCCACTCATAGTTGGATAGGCCATCACACATCGATTAGTAATCTAAACAATCCCCACAGACATGACCACAGACCAGTCTCATCTAGGAAATCCTTCAGTTGAAGCTTCTGCTTTCAAATGATGCTAGACTGTATCAACATAACAAGCATCTGGACACTCTGGAAGAGTGTTACAAATAAAAAAGAAAAAAATTGAACCATGTAACAGTAGAAGAAAATTTATTGTATTTTCCTATATGTCCTCATCCCCCATACATCCTCATACATATGAAGAGGTTGATCTGGCAATGGGGTACACACTACACTGTGGTCTATGCTGACTGCCAGGGACAAAAAAGTGGGTAGAATTTATATTAACCTCCAAATCCAGTGAGGTTAGATATAAATTAGTGCTTTTAACTAATTTCTTTAAAAGCTGTTTAGGGAAATGAACACAAAAAGATGAACAGTATGGTTGGCTTAGAATATGAGGATTCTTGGTAGGTTTCAGTTTTTTTGGTTGCTTCTGTTCTATAACACAATGAATAATGATTACTCTGCTACACAACTGAGGATTCATCTGTTATCCATATCCACACAGAGCCATTTCAAGTGGAGAGAAACTGGCCACTAGATCTCTACTTGATGTACCTCAAGTAGAGAAGGATTCTTTGTGTTCCAGTGACTGACACACAAGCAACACTTTGTTTAGCAAGGTAATCAAGTGAATTTTGAGTGATAATTTTAGCATCCATGTAATTATACCCAAATAACTTATAAGTGGGTTAGTAAAATCAATGGAAAAAGTAAAACCCCAGCCCTGTGAGGGAACTGATATTTTCCTTGATACAAATTCTTATTTTGGTGCTCAGATCTACTTTATAAATAAATATTGAGTTGAGAAAGAACACAATCTGGCATTTCCTTCAAGCACATGATTTCCATCTGCATTACCATTTATTTCTCCAGCATGCCAATAAAAGGCTAAATAGTTCAGTGAGCTCCTCCTAACATTTATGGCCATAGAAAGTCAGTATCTATTCATGACAGAAAAACATCAGCAAAACAAATAATGGACAAATCAAAAGGCTTGGTTTCTGTACTTTCTACAAGTATATTGATTGTTAATCTTGTTAGAATTTTAGTAACTTTCCTATGCCAGACTATCACAGGTAACTACCTATGATTTTCTCTCAGCTCCAACCTGAAAAATGCCAGTCTTGTTTATAATTTTATTATTTTTCTATGTTGGAAAATATTTAGATGCTTTTATAATGGTATAACATTAGCACAAAATGACAATACTGGAAAGGAATTATTACAACTAAAACATTGATATTGAGAATATTATGGCAATAAATAATCAAAAGAAACAACACTAATTTTAAAATGGTAAATATAGATTGTTCCATGAACATTAGAGAACAAGGGTTGCTTCTAAAAATAAATACCCAACTGGACAACACAAGCCAAAGGAAAAAAATACTACATGTTTACATTGAAATAAGCAGGCAAACGCTGAGAAGGAGAGATATCACAGGTCTGTCTGCCTAAAATTGCCCTCCACTCAACACTTCTCTGGGGACTCACTAAATGCTTCCTCTCTCCTAGAAAGTGAATAATTCATCGTGTGAACTTCCCTTCACAGTCAACCTGAAACCAGAAGTGTCTTTGAAAGTTCACTGGTCTGTGAATAACGGTGCTACTCACAATCGCAGTGAGTGCAGCGCATGTGAGGAACCTGCAGGTAATGGGCTGTTGTCGACTCAGCAACAGAAGCACTGTGAACCACAAATGCGACTCTAAATAATCCAGGAGACGTATTTAAAATTGCAAATTAAAAAAGTGAATTTCAATAGTAAAATGTTCAATCCAAGGTAATCAAGATATTATCTTAACATAAAATTCATATAAAATATTGATAATGTACTGCTCATTACTTTTCTGGTATTTGAAACTGTGTGTTTCACTTACATTTTATCAAATCCTCTACTCTTCAAACTAACCCCAGTTCAAGGCTTATCATTCACATGTATCTTCATTGGAAAATCCAAGAATAATTTATAATGGTCTTACAATATTATTGGTCTGTTGATTTTGTATAAAATGCTAAAAAGTAAGCTTTATTCCTAGATATTAGCTGTAGTTTTAGAAGAATTAAAATGGAAATAATGCTTAAATAGGATTTAGAGATGTAGCTCAGTGGTGGAATACATATTTAGCATGCAAAATGATCTAAACCAAAGTACTAACAAGTACACACACACACACACACACACACACACACACAC